TGTAACCCTTTCCAGCTTCATGCAAGTCAACAATTCTTGATCGTAGGTCTTCTGAGAGCTCTTCTCTGTGAGGCATGGTTCACATCAGACAGTGCTTCTTGAAACCAGTAAACCCAAAACAGATGTGTGTTTTTTAAGGGCAGGACAGCTGTCAGCAACACATCCAATATCATCACACTGATTGGAGTCAAGGTTGGCACACTCCTGGCTCCAATTAGCTCTGGGAGTAGTCATTAAGCTAGGGCCTCACATACTTTTTCCTCTCTGCACTGTGAATGTTTACATGTTATGTGCAATTAAACCATGGCAACATCTAATGTTTGTGTAGTATTATGTTCAGCAGACTGTGTTCTTCTATTGTTGTGACTTAGATGACGTTCAGAGCACATTTTATGCCCAATTCATGCAAAACTCCACGTAATCCCAAGGGGTTCACATACTTTTTCTTGCAACTGTAGGCTCCACTGTTGATGTCTGTGGAAGGAATGGTCCCTCATTGTTGGTGTCAGGCAGAGGAATAGTGCCCCGTCACTGGTGTGAGTGGGAGGAAGAGTGCCCCGTCACTGGTGTGAGTGGGAGGAAGAGTGCCCCGTCACTGGTGTGAGTGGGAGGAAGAGTGCCCCGTCACTGGTGTGAGTGGGAGGAAGAGTGAAGAGCCGTCACTGGTGTGAGTGGGAGGAAGAGTGCCCCGTCACTGGTGTGAGTGGGAGGAAGAGTGCCCCGTCACTGGTGTGAGTGGGAGGAAGAGTGCCCCGTCACTGGTGTGAGTGGGGGAGGAAGAGTGCCCCGTCACTGGTGTGAGTGGGAGGAAGAGTGCCCCGTCACTGGTGTGAGTGGGAGGAAGAGTGCCCCGTCACTGGTGTGAGTGGGAGGAAGAGTGCCCCATATTTGGTGTCAGTGATGTCCATTGTTTATATCAGTGGGAGGAATTGACCCATTATTGGTGTAAATGAAAGGAATGGTGCCCTACCATTGCTGTCAGTAGAAGGAATTTAGGCTCCAGTGTTTCATGTCTGTGGAAGGAATGGTCCCTCATTGTTGGTGTCAGTCAGAGGAATAATACATCATCAGCGGTATCAGTGAGAGGAATTGTCCCATTATTGGTGCCAGTGGAAGGAATGGTGCCTAATCATTGGTATCAGTGGGAAGAATATTGCCACATCATTGGTATTAGTAAAAGGAATAGTGTCCCATCATTGGTGTCAGTGGGAGGAATAGTGTCCCATCTTTGGTGTCAGCGGGAGGGATAGTGACTCATCTTTGGTGTCAGTGGGAGGTATAGTGCCCCATCTTTGGTGTCATTGGGAGGAACTGACCCATTTTGGTGTCAGTGAAAGGAATTATGCTCCACTGCTGTGTTGGTGTCTGTGGAAGGAATGGTACCTCACTGTTCATGTCAGTGGGAGAAATAGTGCCCCAAGAACCAGATAAAGACAAAGGGCCACTGTCCTAGGGGAGGAATTAAGAGCAATGGGGATTAGTGTGTGGATGTAAGTAGTGAGGTGGCCACCCCACAACACTGATGTACTGTAATCCTTGAGGCTTGATTGTGGTCTGTTGTTTTTTATAAAACTTCAGTAAAAGGACTTGCAATACAAGCAAGAGACTTCACTGGTACTTGGAAACAGCTGCTTAAATAATGATGGCATTTCAAAGTAAATACAGTTTAAGAGCTCCATTTAGCCATTGGTTGCTATTTTGCTTGCAGTTATTTTTTAATCACAGGTTCACTTTTATTATATTTTTGTTTGTTTTGTTAGTGACTAGCAACTGAATAAAATGCTTACTGGTAATTGTTCTTGACATAAGAATGTATATGTGTTGCGTGCAGGAATGGGAGAAGAGGGCAGGTCCATCTTTACACACTACATAGGAATTTGTGGGGTTTTTTTTTACATTTTGGATAGACAGGCAAATAGGTGATAACCGCTGTCAGGCTTTTATTGTTGGATCAAGAAATAATTGGAAACTACATCCCCAAATGCCAACAGCAGTTAAAAACTTGAGATTCCAGCTCTGTTCAAAAAGAAAAGATTGGCTTGAGTTCGAATTTTATGTATAGCCAGTTTTAATCATAGTTTTGGATGTGGATACAGGTAAGGAATACAACCCCTGTTCGTTTTTTTATTGCTGACCGCATCCCTGCTGGGGAGATTCATGCTCTTTTTTGTGCCCTAAAAAAGTGTTGGGAAATCTATATTTTTACAGCTCTAAGAGGTAAGAGAAAGCCTTCCAATGGGAGCGCCTGTTCAGGTGACAGCTGTCTAACAGGGGAATTCCTCTCGGTTTGTAGATTTCAGTCCCTGTTTAATGCAGGCCACACATGGGTCGAATTCTGAATGAATTTTCTTTAGAAAATCGGATGTTTTGTGTGTTTTGTAATAAGATGGTGCCACCATTGATTTCCAGATTCGACCAACCAAACCTTCAATTTCACCTCATGTTGCTACAGAAAAGAATTTTCATGGCCGGGAATCTTTTCTTTCCGGCCCACAGCTCATGGTCATTTCTTTTTTGATTATATATCTCGCACTATTCTCCCATCATTGATTAGAAATTATCTTGTTTTTCAAAAAATTTCAAAATGCCCAATCACTCAAATTCGATGGACGCACGAAACTGATGCTGAGGGCCACTAATGGTGCGAAATTCAAACGAAAATTCTTTGTTACGATTTTCGACAGAAAATTCTTTCAGAATTCTTCGACCCATGTATGGCCGGCTTAACTCTAGGACAGAAAGTGAAGAGAATTTTCCCCAACAGGAAACAGACATAAAAAACATTAACCCTTACCTACTCTATCCCCCCCAAAAAAACGTTTTGGCTAGACATACACAAGTTATCAACTACACAGGTCTGTGACTAGAAAGCTGTTTGATTATTTTCATCTAATTTCCATGTATTTTGGTGTGCTGAAAACAAATAAAATATTGAAAAAACTCCTAGACGTCATGATTTGCCACAAAATGCAAAATTGTCTTCAAATTTATCAAATTTTTTAAATTTTTGGTATTTTTTTTTATACTATGGGTTTTTAACCAAATTTAAAGTTCAAATTACTATTAATTAATTCACATAAGTGCATTTAAGATATAAAATGCCACAAAAACCTTAAAGGGGTTGTCCGAGTTATGTAGAAAAAAAAAATATAGCACTGTAAATCTGATGGTCAGCAATATATACATAAGCTAAGCAAGTTTTAGGGAACAAAAATTCTATTTCCTCATTTCCCTAGTTCTCTTCTGGCCCTTTGTTGTTATTTGCAGGTAAACAATCTTTGCCCCTCCCCCCCTGCAAAGGGGGTGAATACAAGTGCTGCTCTGAGTGACATGTCTGACTACTGGGATACTCAGCAGCATGCTGTATGTGTAAGCCTCAGCCCTGAGTCTGTGCTTCTAATGGTAGAAGGGGTTAATCTTTCCTGAAGAATCCAGTGGGTGGGATGCCAAATACCCTTGTTTTCTGTGTCTATGGGACAGTCGAGACTGACAAAATCACTGGACCAAGAAGAGTTGGCAGCCGAGGGTGCTAACAGTCGGTGAAAAAAATGTCCTCCAAGAAACTTTGGTACCTTCCCATAAAGTTCTTCTACCACCTCTCCACATAAAATTGGGATTGATAAAGCAGTTCGTAAAATCACTTCCAAGAGATGGAGAATGCTTCAAATACTTGGTCACCAAGTGTCCAGGCCTGTCGGAGGCAAAATTGAAGGAAGGTGTGTTCATCAGACCAGACATTAGAAGGCTTATAGTTGATCAAGAGTTTGTCAATACCACGACAGATCCCAAAAAGAAGGGTGGATTGCATTTAAAGAAGTCGTACAGAAATTTTTAGGCAATAACAAAGATACTCACTACAAAAAGATCGTCGGACAAATGCTGAAAGCATTTCAAGCTTTAGGTTGCCTGATGAGTTTGAAAGTGCATTTCCTCCAGTCCCACCTTGACTACTTTCCTGAAAATTTGGGATCTGTGAGTGAGGAACAAGGTGAACCATTCCACCAAGACATTAAAGAGATGGAAATGAGATACCAGGGAAAATGGAGCATTACAATGATGGCAGACTACTGTTGGATACTTCAGACACATTCCAGATGCTACTCACAAGCGTAAATGCACCAAGAGGAGCCTCACAGGGAAGAAGAATCGAGTTAAGTGTGTGTAGGTGAGCTCATTTCAGTTCAAAAAAGGATTTTCATGAAAAAATTTTAATAAAACTTTAATTTTATAAGTCTATTTCCATTTATTTTGAGGTAATGCCTTATTTAACATAGTTACCTAAATTGTCAGGAAACGTGATGTCCTATGACAAAATGGAGGTCATTTTTGGATTCAGCGCACCAAAAAACATGAAGATTATGTAGAATAACCAAAACAGCTCTTGAAAAACATTTTTTTTGCAGACCTGTGCTATCTATACACTCAGCGGCCACTTTATTAGGTTCAATTGCTTGGTAACACAAATTGCTAATCAGTCAATCACATGGCAGCAACTCAATGCATTTAGGCATCTAGATGTGGTGAAGACAACTTGCGAAGGTCAAACTGAGCGTGATACCGATTGGAAAGAAAGGGAATTTGAGTGACTTTGAATGTGGCATGATTGTTGGTGCCAGATGGGCTGGTGTGAGTATTTCAAAAAAAACTGCTGAACTACTGAGATTTTCACGCACAACCATCTCTAGGGTTTACACAGAAAGGTCCAAAAAAGAAAATATCTAGTGAGTGCCAGTTGTGTGGCTGAAAATGCCTTGTTGATGTCAGAGGAGAACGGGCAGAATGGTTTGAGGTGATAGAAAGGCAACAGTAACTCATGTCAATATGGACCAAAATCTCTGAGGAATGTTTCCAACACCTTGTTGAATCTATGCCATGAAGAATAAGGCAGTTCTGAAGACAAAAGGGGGTCAAACCCGATACTGGCAAGGTGTACCTAATAAAGTGGCCAGTGAGTGTACATTTCTATTATGGAAGGTGATTTAACAATGGTATCTCTGCAGATGCTGATTGGATTCCTTGTTGTACGAACCCTCAGCCGTTGCTGTACAGATCGTCTCCTCCTGGCTTTTGGTCTCGTCATCTGTAACATCTCCTGCATTTGGTGCCTCATATTCTTGGCAAAACCCAAAGGTTAACAGATCTCCTTTTACTTCATTATACAGTACTTAAGAGTTTGTTAAAGGAATTATTGTAAACTTCATGTGTACTCTTCTATGATTGGGTATAGAATTGCTTTTACTTAGTATCCATTCCAAGGTTTCATTCCCTTGGATGGAATTCTTTGCTGCACTAACAGTGGGTCTTCCTCAGCATGACAGCCAGTCATGCTAACATGTTTGTATTGCAATCCCAGCAACAAATGGTGGCCAGACTGTTTTATGTAGCATGCACATACTTACCTGTTCACTAGGGTGGCCTTCCTCTGTCACACCTAACATTGTTCTTCTAGGAAAGGTTCTATGTGTAGCAGCTAATGCTTGCCTATACCTCATATAGAGGCTACCTTTTACTGCAGCTCAGATGTAGAAGTGTCAGAGTAACAGTGGCAATGTGGACCTGGAGGGAAGCCACTCTACTGAACAGGTAAGTATTTCTGGGTTGTAAATTATGTTTTTTTTATGGCAGCAGCAGGCCTCATCAATTTCTCATTAAAATATTTCTCATTTCCACAGTTGTCTTCTTTGCTGCTGCTATTCAATCTTTGCAATCTTTTAATCTAAAGCTTGCTTTAAAGTACGGGTGTCTCTCGCAGAGAACATTCCATTTAAAAAATTTGGCTGATATGCCATTCATTTGTTATTCTTGTCTCCTACCTGGTTCCTATGTATCAAGATCATGTATATTTTGTTCCTTTTGTTATCTTGGAAAAGAAAACTTGAAAATCCAAATAAATATAATTAAAAAAAAAAAAGTACAGTTGCCAAACTGGCCCTCCAGCTGTTGCCAAACTACAAATCCCATGAGGCAATGCAAGATTGACAGTTACAAGCATGACTCCCAAAGGCAGAGGCATGATGTAGTTTTGCAACAGCTGGAGGGCCGCCAGTTTGACACCCCAAAGGAATCCTGTACTGAGAGAGATATATAGGCTGATTTGTGGAAATACTGGTTGCTTGGCTATCTCTGGTTTCAGTACTTTGTAAATCACATAGAATAAGTATGCAGCCAGTAAAGCCATAGAAATGTCATAACACATGACCTGCAAATTATACTTTTTTCTACTCAATGACTCAAAGTATTGAAGCTGGTAGATCAGCATACAATAATAAAGAAGCAGAAGCAGAAGGAGAGAGACTATGAGGGGGATTTACTTAGACTGGTGGACTTGGAATCTGGTGCAGCTATGCATAGCAACCAATCAGCTTCCAGGTTTTATTGGCAAACCTATTTGAACAAGCTGAAGTTAGATACTGATTGGCTACTATGCACATCTGCACCTGATTCTGGGTGCACCAGTTTTGGTAAATCTCCCAGTACAAGTCTTGGCATATAATATTACTCGCATTATAATATGCATATCTCATGCAGGGAGCTATGGATTTCTGCTGGCAGAGTTCATCATTGGGGTTTTCCTACAAGTTCTTGGACTGCCCTTTGTATCAGTATCCCAGGTGTCTCTGTTCTCCAAAATGACAGCTGAGAAGACACAAGGTGAGAAATTCCTTTCAATCCCCATCCAACAAAAGGTTAAATAATGATCCATGTCAGTGGTGACTATAGACCTGGCCCAGGAGCAAAGAAACAGACTGAGCTTTCCCTTGATGCTTATCTTGCTCTTCATGTATTTATGCCCTCCAGCATGCTGCTACTAAGTCAGCGTTTATCTCTATCAGAAATGCACAGTCTGTGAAATTCATAAAGCGTATCATAGATACTCATTAAAAGTCTTGTGACAAATTGCACAACCTGCGACAGAGTCATGTATGTGCCATTGAGGTGTAAATTAAGGAGAATTTTGTCACATAATTGTCTCAAAGATACAACACTATACTTGGCAATGGCAAAAAAAGAAGGCTGCATGGACATCCCCACATATAACCCCTCCTACTTAAAGCTAGACTTTTTTTTTTGCTAGCATCCTTAGATGATGAATGATGATGATATTCCAACATGATTCAGCTATCATTAGGCTGTATCATAACTACTGCAGGTGTTCATGCAGCCTCAGAAATGGTGGGCTCCTCAGCAGAGCCTTGGGGACATTCGCTGATCCTGCCTGGCTTAGCCAGGCTGTAATGTTGCTTTGCACTGGCTGCTGCTGTGGGCACTCCCTTTGGCATGTAGCACAATGTATAGAATTAACTGCGGGGTGCTCTACAGATCCAAAGCCTGGTGCAATACCCCACATTGTGGGTTACTTGGTAGATCTCCTGCTAAAAGACCTACCTGTCCTTGTCAGCCAACATCCAACAAATGGTGCAGGCTCTGAAAAAGTAATCGCTTAACCATCTCACAGACTGGAATACTTGTGTCTAACGCTGGACAGGACCTTCTCAAGAACCTTTCTGAATCAGGAAACACTTCCATTCTCTTGTTCTCATGCCAGGGCTTACAGGAAGTCCAGAATGTGTGCTTGCATGAGCTGCTTGGGTCTCTCGGTTGTCTCTTCAAAGTTATACTTTATGCCCAGTTTCACTCCAGACTGTTGCAACATTCTGACCACATGGGACAAACAGACTCATTCTTTGAACTCTCCCATGCATCTGACCCCAATGGCCAAACGTTTCCTAGGGTGGCCAATTTCTAATCTGACACTGGAGTTAGGGAAGCCAATTCTGCCAGTCCCAGATGGTTCTCACAATGGATGCCAGAATTTCTGCTGCTCACATCCTAGGTGTTGAAAATTTGGCGGGTGGACTTTGTTGTCAGTGTCTGGAATAAGGGGAATGGTCTTTCAACCCAGAGGTCTGTAAAAACCTTTGGCACAGGTGGGTGACTCCGAATGTGTACCTGCCGAAGACCAGATTCAACAGCAAATTGGACAGGTTTGTCGCCAGGTCCAGGGACTCTCTGGCTTTCGCAGTGCATGCTCTGGTGATTCAGTGGGATCAGTTCAACCTGATCTACACCTTTCTGTCCTGCCAGATTCTCACCTATTTCACAAAATTGAGGAGGAGGTCATTCTGGTGATCCTCATTGCACCAAATTGGCCCTGGAGTACATGATATTCTGAGAGCACAGATGCTTTGTGAACATTTTTAGATTATCCAGACTGCCTGTTCCTGTTATAGGAGAATGTCTCTGCAGCCTTCTTTGTTTGCCAGTGTCTAAGCACTTGAAAAAAACTGCATATAACAGTCGTAAAGTAAAAGAGCCTGTGTGCTGTGCAGTACTCCAAGAATCAAATTTTACTGGTAAGTCAGAAATCCTATTATCCTACTTGGAAAGCTTTTGGACATGCCCATACTCCTTTAACCCGTACCGCTCCGTAAGATCTCAATTTAACATCTCAGTTTTGTTGCTAGTGTCTTTAAGTGATGGACTTCTTCACCCTTATGGAGAAGATTCTATGCCTACCTAGTTTTTATTTACTTTGAGTTCTTCAAGCAACTCTCTACAAGCCTTCTTGTAATTTTTAAAAGGTTTTATCATCATTATACATGCCTTACCAGAGTCCAGTCGATGGGATGGGTGACCTTATTGACCAATAGAGAAGAATGGGATGGTGAGACTGAGTGCCAAATTCCTAGATGAAGTTTCAGTTTGTAGAATAGAGCTACCTGGATTTTGTGGCTCTCAGAGCATGAAAATAAGCTGAGGATCTGTGCGTGCTCCTCGCAATTGCTGATACCATGCGGTAATGGTGATTAGCAACTTTTAAATCCTATCCTATACACTTTATGTACATTTTCTGATGGCTAACACAATACAGCTTTCTGCCATCTTGTCTTAAGGCAGATAAAATGTTTATAGTATGCTTACAAGTCAACTTTGGACAAGCAATATTTGTTCATGAATAGTGAAAATGTTTATATATAGATTGAATTGTATTTCACATTTTGCAGGGTTTAACCACGGGATTCGTCGTTCAGTTGGAGGTATAGCTACAATTCTGGGGCCACTGTGGGCAGCAGGCTTAACTGAAAATCTATACATAATGTTGGGAGTCATGATGGGTCTGCTCCTTCTGATCACAGTAAGACAGTATATTTCTTGCTGAGTTGTCCTATACATAGATTGTATGTTTGTTTTTCTCACATTCTGCTTCTTCTTCACACTATCTTTGCTTGGTATTCATAACTTTACTGTATAGAGTTTACTTGGGCAAAATCACACGTATATACGTGATTTTGTATCACCAGGTAGGGGGCGCGCGCGTGCCGCCATTTGCGGCCGCGGGCTGTCAATCACTGGGTCCGTCCGATAATTTCCCGCCGCCGGCACCCAGTGATTACCGAGCATCTCCAACGGGGAGGAGGACTGCTTTGTTTACTAACAGTCCTCCTCCCTGTTAGCTGGGGCACGCTGCTCTGGATGGCTGTGCTTACAGTGAAGCATCAACACACCTTCCCACAGTAAAACACTCCCTGCACACAGTTAACCCTTTGATTGCCCCTCATGTTAACCCCTTCCTGCCCAGTGCCGTTAGTACAGTGTCAGTGCTTTTTTGTAGTCAGTTCTCCCCAGTGTCAGAATGCCAGCGGCAGTCCCGCTATAAGTCGCTGATCGCCGCCATTACTAGTAAAAAAAAAAATCCACTATCTATACCGCCATTTGTAAACGCTATAACTTTCACATAAACCAATTAATTTACATGTATTGGTATTTTTTTTTTTAGCAAAGACATGTAGCAGATTACATTTTGGCCTAAATTTAAGATGAAATTTGATTTTTTTTAAAAAAGTGTACTGGACATGTTTAATAGCAAAAAGTCGAAAATATTGTTTTTTTTCTCAAAATTGTCAGTCTTTTTTTTTTTTTTCTATAGCTCAAAAAATAAAAAACACACAGGTGATCAAATACCACTGAAAGAAGGACGTAAATTTCATTTGGGTGCAGCGTTGCATGACTGCGCAATTGTCAGTTAAAGTAACGCAGCGCTGTAACGCAAAAAATGGCCTGGTCAGGAAGGGGGGGGGGGGGATATCCTCAAGAGGGCAAGTGGTTAAAGAGACTGACAGGATAGCTTACCAACAATTCACTTATTGGGAGATTTTAACTTGATTACATTTCATTAGTGCAAGAGTCATTTTCTTCATCATGTAGTTTAAGCTGGGTTTCTGTGTGCAAAAAAGAATGTTTAGACATCACTTGTTTATAAAGGCCACTGTATTGGAATTCTTGCCTTCCTGCCTGTCACATAATGACCATATTTGCTTTTGTGTACAGTCATTGCAAAGCCTTTTCGGCAAACTGAAAACTTAATGATGGCAGAATGTGTCCAGATTTCCATTCACTACCAAACTTCTAAGGCTTTATTCAGACATGTGGTCTGGTATGGTGTGTTTGAATGGGCAGCCATAATGGAATAATAAAAACACACCTGCGCCATTTTTGGCAACACAACAGTAATGTGTTGCGTTGCAATGCAGGTATGTTGCTTTGGTGCTGTGGGTTCCATACAAAATGAATAGCACCCCAATGCAGTAATGCATTTTTGGCATGTTATCACATATTGCAGTAATGCACAGGTTTTACCAAACATTACCATCATGCATATGTGTGAATCTGACCCTAAAGGAAACCTTAAAATGTTACTAAACCCATAACAGTAAAATCAGTCTTTGCATGCCATAAAGCATGCTTGTTATACTCACTGTGGAACCTAAGGGGTTAATCCTCTGCATTGTGTAAAAAGGCTGTTTGTTACTGATTCCTCTAATCCTCGCCTTCTTCCAGTGCCCCCTCTCTTATCTCCTGATGAGACATATCGTGTGGAAACCATATGCACATGCTCGGTTAGGTGTGTATTGCTAGAGAGGTTGGTTTTTTTTATCCTGGGAAGGTGCATCTGATTAGCACAGGGCCAATCAGCACTGTCCAGACAGAGGGTCAGGGGTCCTGTATCCTCCTACAGCAGAATGAAAACTCCTCCTACAAGCTTTAACAATTGCTCTGCTGAAGTCACAAGACTGCTCTAACTGCTGATGAGAGAAGGTATTTAGCAGTTTATATTTACTAGAATAATTGCATTTCCATGTAGTGTGTACTGTGGGAAACCAGATATAGTGAATGCAGGGTCCTGGGTTTAGTAACACTTTAACTGAGAGCAATGCAGAGGCTGCCATTCCTAACTTCTTATTCTTGGTGATAATTGCCTGGATGTCATGCTAAATCCCTGGCTGTTTTACTGTTGAGTCACTAACCCGGTATTTAGATAAGGCCTTTTCTGTTCTATTCTTGGCCCATGACTCCGCAAGTATTGAAGCCAGAGGGTCTGAATAATAGGCAGCTTTTTATTAATATTTTTCAGGAGGAGGTCACTGATAGCAGCCCCTGTACGTCTGTCATGAAAATGTTGCGTTAAAGATCTGTGAACTGATAAAAGCTGTCATGCTCCCAGATCTGCCATCTCATGGCTAACTTTATGTGAGAGTACAGTTTACATCCCCCATTTCATTCGATAGAGCTTGATTTTTGTAATGTAGAAATGTTTGAAATCTGTAGTCTTTAGTCAAGATTTTAACCTTGAAAAGAAATCCTAGAGTAATATATGAAAAAGTTTCTAAACTAAGAAATGCAAAATATATGTTATTCTTTTATTATATATGGGTATTAGAAATTCTTTGTTAAAGGTTAAGTTCACTTTTCTGAACATGTTACACCCATATTTAGGGTATATTTATGTTCAGCAGCAGACCCCTCCCCTCCTCCTTGTGGGAACGAGGCGGGGATCTTCTCCCCGTTCTGACTGCCACAATTCAAAGAGTGCGGGGCTTTGCCCATGCGGCCGCATCATTGATTTACAGGTACCTGTGAATCAGTAAACTACACCTATCAACATCCATTGCAGCTATCAACTTGTAGTTCTCAAACTATCACAACGCTGTTGAGTGCTGTGGTAGTTCATTGCGTCTTCCTGTCATTGTAAAACTGCCTGCCCATACAATGTACAGGCAGACAGCTTACACTGACCGTCTGCAGGAGACCTGCATGGCACCAGCAATCTGCTGATCGCTGGTGCAATGCTTTCCAGGCTCCTAGAACAAAAAATAGTAAATGCCCATTTTATTTACCTGCAAAAAAAGTGCATTTATTATTTTTTCGTTAAAAGGTGAACTTATCCTTTAAATTTCCAAAATATTCTGTTGTACTGGCTTATCTAGATACAAACATGGGATGCTTTTACACCATTACTATTTTCTATTTCCAGATATTGTTCAGCTTGTCATACAAGTACCTTGTGGAACCTGCCCCACCGTTGACTGAAACTTCATGAAAAATAATGAAACTTTCTATGAATCATAAGTGCTCGGAGGTTTCTTTTTTTTATCCATTTATCGTGGATAACTAGTTGTTTAAAGCAAGCATTGTAGTGACTGGAGGTGTTTAGCTGCTGAAAGCCATCTGCTTGCCTCATGAAATATGAACTGTATGATTCTATTAATTCTCTGTGATCTTCAACAAGATAAAGCAATGGACATATTTGTAGTATGTTTTTCAGAGTCCGAAGCCAGTAAGACAATGTCAAATGCATGTGACAGATAGCTGTTTGAAGTTGGGAGGTAAATTTCCATAGGTGGAAGCAAGCTTTCTTGTGAAGTAGCTGCACAGTGACTAGAAATTGGTGTACGCCACTAATTGACTTGGAGGGGATGTAGTCCAGCAGCAAGCTACAAGAGATGCCAGTTCTACATGCCTGTCTATCACTTTTTTTTTCAGTGTACAATATTGATGGTAGTTACCAACCGGAGAAACAAGAAGATAATTACATATCTCTTATGTTTTACAACCATGCTATTTGGTAATCTTTCTTGCACTATGGCTGTGGTTGCTGCCAACATCAAAATTATTCTGACAACACATGTTCAAACCATTTTGCAACTTTCATAAATCTTTACATCCTTGTTTTAATGGGAAACATAATATCAGCTAGGTGTGGTACCGAAGTATAGTATACAAACTAGATTTTTCTCTGTGTTCTAGATGATCTGTTCCCGTTTGAACAACTTCCAACACTTACAATCCCCACCTTAGGATCACAATGAGACACAGTGTTTCCATTAGGCAGCTACACTAATCAGCCCTAACATTATGAACACGCACCATAACCCTTTGAGACGTGGACTTCACTAGGCCTTTGAAGCTATGCTGTGGTATCTGGCACAAAGCCATCAGTAGCAGATCCTTTAGGTCCTGTACATTGTGAGATGGGTCTTCTGTGAATTGGACTTTTTATAGCACATCCCACAGATGCCTAAATGGATTGAGATCTGGAGAAGTCAACACCTCAAACTTGTTGTGTTCCTCAAACCATTCATGAATTCAGCAGACCATGCCACTTTCTTCCATTTCTACTTGGTCCATTTCTGATGCTCACATACCCATTGTAGGCTTTTTTGGCTGTGGACACGGGTCAGCATGGGCACCCTGACTGGTCTGGTCTGTGTCTATGCACCCCCAATACGCAATAAACTATGGTGACACCTTTCTATTGAAACCAGCAATAACTTGTTCAGCAACTTGAGCTACAATAGCTCTTCTGTTAGACTACACAGATCAGCTTTTGCTCCCACAGTGTATTAATGAGCCTTGGCTGCCCATACCCCTGTTGCCAGTTTTCCTTCCTTAGATCACTTTTGGTAGATCTTGATCATTGGAGACCGGGAACATTCCACAAGAGTTGCAGTTTTGGTAATGCTTTGATCCAGTTGTCTAGCCATTACAATTTGGCTCGTGTCAAAGTTGCTCAAATCCTTACACTTGCCCATTTTTTTGCTTTCAACACATCAGCTTCAGGGACATGTTCACTTGCTACCTAATATATGCCACAACGTTCAGATACAATTGTAATGAGATAATCAATGTTGTTCACCTTACCTGTCACTGGTCCTGATGTTATGGCTGAACAGTGTATAGGCCAAGTGTGGTTGCTCAACCTGCTTATAGAGGACAGGGACAAAGATTTGTATAATTTACACACATCACTTCACACAGCACTCACCAACTCTGCTTCACCATTCTTCAGTTGACGGATTGATATGAATTCAAAAATCCTATCTTTGATTTAGACATCTTTCTCCCACAGCTCCCAGGTTTTCTTGAGACAGAATTGCATACCTCACTTGCAATGCTACTGTCCAGTGAAATTTGGGATAACAATGCAACCATAAAAGTGGCTCACTATTTGAATCACTTAATTTCACTGGTTTGACTAAGGCAGGCCATAGAAGATTCGGTTATATTTGTTCAACCTTTTGGGTTGAACAAAAAAAATGAGCCAATTTCCCCATCCACATATTTGATGTGGATGGGGGAATCACTCCCGCTGAGCTATTGTATTATGCCGGTGGGGAGCCTTCCCCGGTGGAAGAATACAATGATCAGTATTGCCAGCTATAACCAGCGGCACTGATCATCTGGGAAAAACCTGACGGGCTGGATGTACACAAGTCGATCGATAGCTAGTCCATACATGACCCAAAATTTGGCTGGTTCAGCAGAGACTGACCAAATTATTAGACGGGGACCTGCTTTATATACATTTAGGATCCTCAGTCAAAAGATTGTCCTTTTTCTTATCTGAGTAGCTCTTTCCTGCCAAGCATGTGCTATTGATCGTCTTTTTTTTTTTTTCTTCTTTTTTTTAGTTATTTAATATGTTGCTCAACAGGAAAATGCTGTTGTATTTAGTTATAAATAGACAAAGTTGCCTTTCCCTTTCAAAGCAAAGTCAACATACCTGTGTAAAACTCTCTCTATTTTTTACTCACCTGTCCAGCTTCCCCCACCACTCTTTCCTCTGCCACAGCCACCAATAAAATAATTGGTGGCAACTAGTGTTGGAGTTTAGTGGGAGCAATGATGTGACCGCCTGTGTCATGTGACAGTGCTGTGACCTAGTGATTGACCATTAGGTGCAAGTCCTGGATCATAGAAGGAGGTCAGCTTTTCCCCCATACTCGGGAACATTGGGTATATTGTAGTGGCAGCCACAATAGAAGTTGGGGAGCACTGGATAAGTGAGAATAACGTGACAAGTGTAGCATAAAGCCTCAAGAAGAAATGCTTGAAGGAAACTAGTCATTAGGGAAATCCAGGGCTGTCATGACTGGGGTTTTTTTTCTTCTTTTTAGATAATTCTGGTTTCCTGGCTTATTTGCTGACCCATTGACTCATAAATGTGTGCAAATTAGAAAGTCAGAGAAGCGTCAAAATTCCTAATCTGCATACTTCTGTGAATCAGTTAATAAAAGGATTGGGTCAGATGAAGCAGCCAGGCAACTAGCATTTTCAGGAGACGTCAGCAACGGCAACCTCTTTGATTCTTTCATGACATGCTTTTTGTTTTTTTTAAGTTTTCTATAGATATAAAAGGGTTGACAGACATGAAAACACAAACCAAATTCTGAAAGATGTTTTTCCCCTTTGGCACAGTTTTTTTTACAATCAAAGTATTTACAGTTCTTGTATTAAAACCAAGTCTGTAAATACTTTGATTGTAAAAAAAATGTTGCCTTTGGTGTAGAGTCTTTTAACTTTCTAATAAACTTGTGAAATGGGCGCTATGACATTTACTACTACACAAACCTCAGGTCACACCGGCATGCTTTAGTGACATTTAGAGGTATTTGTCACTCGAGAGACTTTCATGTCAGCAACAGAAAATAAAACTAGCTAATCAAAAACACATGCACACTCCAAATACCGGTAGTTAGAATCAAAGGATACTTGAATATTTATCATATTTATGTCAAATCTGTAAATAAAATTTTAATTCTCTCTAATGTTCCAGAATATTTTGTCTTGCATAGTAGAACATAATTCCAATTTCCCTGCAATAGCTGTGATATACTGTACTTGGTAAACATTCTTCTTCCTAACTGCAGTAACCCATAGGAAATCAATCTGGAATTCACCCTGGTACAGGATGGATTTTGCTTGGTTCCTTTGTATTATGGATTAGCATTTAATGTGACCCTGCCACTTAAGTAATAAGTCTCAAGCAGGTACATGTAAAGAAAATATAAAAGGGGGGGGTATTGTGAGCGCTAAAAGTCAATAGGCAGCTAAACACCAAAGGTACCAATAACCTCCAAGATATCTATTTCAAAGAACCAGGGTGTCCCCTTTAAGCTCTGGTCAGGTCTGGTGTCCCTCTTAAGCTGACATCTACTGCCTGTGGGTGGCTCGCCTCCTCTGTGGATGGTAAGAGCTTGTGGAGAGCTCAGAAAAGAGGAGGCTGATGGCGTAATAACGTTTACACAGAGGGTACTTTATTAGCCAAATAAAAGTACAAAAAAAACCACACTGACCAGTAATGGTGTTCCAGAGTGGCTACAGGGACCACTGAAGTGCTGGCAGCGTGGCGTCCTAGTGCTGTAGCCTCTGACGCGTTTCGAGCAATGGCACGTACTCATAGGGGTCCTGCATACAGCCAGAGGACGCTTGTGCTGTGCTTTAAATAGAAGATAAACAATTTAAAGCACAGCACAAGCGTCCTCTGACTTCAGTGGTCCCAGCAGCCACCCTGGATGCGCAGTGTGATTGTGTATCTGGTGAGTGCGCAGTCTTTACACTTTTTCCTCATCACCAACTATCAGGACCAGTCATTTGGATCCGGAAGACTCCTAGGCACATTAATATTTGGACTTATACATGGCACTGTGCACATGGTGAGTCACTGATTAGTGACGCACTACACTTAACTTATTTTTGCACTATGTCACTTTATCACTTATTCTGTGATTTTTAGGAGTACCATTGATATTTATTTATTGATGCTTGAACTACGTCATTTAGACACGATTTAGATTTCCTTTTTGTTTTATATGTATTTTATCTGAGCGCTACACCCTGCTGTCGTATTACATGTAAAGAAAAATGCCATTGAATTCCTCTCCGTTGCTGAGAAATTGTCCACCGGGACACTTTCAGGAGTGTTCAGCTCCAGGGTCCCCCGCAGTTGTCACTGGTTCTTCCTGCTGGCCTCCATGTCATCGCTGTCTCTGTACTGGGGAGTAGACACAAATCCAACACCTCCTGTGCTCAGAAACCCAGATCAGGAGAAGGCCAGTCGAACAATATAGTAAAAGTAAAATGTTCATCCAACACTGATCAAAGGTTGTGCATCTCAAATATGAAGCTGGGGAAGCTTGATAAACAATGTAGTAGAGAACAAAAAACAAAGCGCACCAACCTTGCGCATGACCTCAGTAGGTAATTAATACATTTATTGATCAGAAATATGCTCACAAGAGTAGCAATATTAAAGGCATG